AGTGAGTTACATTACATTGAGTTACATTACAGTGAGTTACATTACAGTGAGTTACATTACAGTGAGTTACATTACAGTGAGCTACATTACATTGAGTTACATTACATTACAGTGAGTTACATTACATTGAGTTACATTACAGTGAGTTACATCACAGTGAGTTACATTACAGTGAGCTACATCACAGTGAGTTACATTACAGTGAGCTACATTACATTGAGTTACTTTACAGTGAGTTACATTACAGTGAGTTACATTACATTGAGTTACTTTACAGTGAGTTACATTACAGTGAGTTACATTACAGTGAGTTACATTACAGTGAGCTACATTACATTGAGCTACATTACAGTGAGCTACATTACAGTGAGTTACATTACATTGAGTTACATTACAGTGAGCTACATTACAGTGAGCTACATTACAGTGAGTTACATTACAGTGAGCTACATTACAGTGAGTTACATTACAGTGAGTTACATTACAGTGAGCTAGATTACAGTGAGTTACATCGCAGTGAGCTACATTACAGTGAGTTACATTACAGTGAGCTACATTACAGTGAGTTACATTACAGTGAGCTAGATTACAGTGAGTTACATCGCAGTGAGCTACATTACAGTGAGTTACATTACAGTGAGTTACATTACAGTGAGTTACATTACATAAAACATGAATCTGAAATTCATTTGACTCGATGGTTCAGTCATAAGCTTTAGTTTTCCCACAATCCTTTGCGGTTCAAAGGGTTTGAACAAAGTCGTTGGTGCCTTTGTGTTTCGATCAGTGTTGTTGATCAATCGTCATGCCAATGTGCATATTAATTATCATAAGTGACCTCACAGCCCTTCGTTCCTTCAGTGGGCTGGTTTCAGTCATTATGCAAATGTCCTGTTTGTAAGGTTGGAAACCTGCAGTCAGCTGAGACTGAAGACGTCGCCTGATGATAATGAAACGTTTCTCCCATTGAATCTTTTTCATTCTTTTCACTGTTTCTTCTTCAGATTTTTATTCGTTGTCACAGATTAGAGGAAACGGATCGTCTTCAGGTTCATGGCAGACGTGTTTCACTGCAAGATGAACTAATCA